TTTTATTCCCTTATGGTGTTATGTATGTATGTACATTGTAATCCACTTGGTACTGGCTTTCTGTAAAGAAGATTCCTGTGTTCCTATTTTCTTAGGATGACTGGTTTGCTTGGAACATGAGCAGTAACTTCCATAGGGAAGCACATAATTGTTCATAAGTCACTGAAGTTCAACCTATTCCTACTTTTCAGATACAGAATATTGTTTCAGATGCCCTGATGATCAATATCCAATTATGAGCAGAGATAGAACAATACAAGAACAATACAATACACTTTCTTTCTTTTGAAGAACCATTGGGGATCACTTTAGCCTCAACGGCTGTTTCTTCTGCCTTTATCACAGTTTTGGTGCTAGGAACCTTTCTGAGGTATCGTAATACCCCCATTGTAAAAGCCAACAACAGGGATCTCACTTACACCCTTCTCATCTGCCTCCTGCTCTGCTTCCTCTCTTCGTTGCTTTTCCTGGGCAAACCCAATAAAGTGACCTGCCTCCTCCGACAACCAACATCTGGCATTACCTTCTCAGCAGCTATTTCGTGCATCTTGGCCAAAACCATCACAGTGGTCGTAGCTTTCAAACCAGGATCGAACATGATGAAGTGGGTGGGGAAAAGGCTGGGCAACTCCATTGTCTTCCTCTGCACTCTTATCCAAGCAAATATTTGCACGGTGTGGCTGGCAACCTCTCCCCCCTTTGCTGATTTAGACATGCAATCGGTAGAGAAAGAAATAATTGTAAAATGCAACGAAGCGTCACTTTTCATGTTTTACTTAGTCTTGGGTTACATAGGCTTTTTGGCCATTGCAAGTTTCATTGTGGCATTTGTAGCCCGTGAATTACCTGACAGCTTTAACGAAGCCAAGTTTATTGCATTTAGCATGCTGCTCTTTTGCAGTGTTTGGCTGTCTTTTGTTCCAGCCTACCTGAGCACAAATGGAAAAGACATGGTAGCTGTGGAAATCTTCTCCATCTTGGCCTCAAGTGCTGGGCTGCTGGGTTGCATTTTTGCCCCTAAATGCTATATCCTTCTGCTGAAACCTGAGCTGAACAACAAACAACAACTACTAAGAAGAAGAAAATAATCCGTGCATTTTTCTGCTATGTGCATTTTTCTGCTATTATATTTTTATTTTTGAAAAGTAAGGGTTTAGCATAGAATGATATGGCTATTATATTAATCACACAATTTTATCTAAAATTATTTACTAATCTCTCCAGAAAGTTTCTGATGCTCCTAACCTCTGCTATTGCACCAATTGCCTGCACCACATAACTGTCACTAGGCCTGCCCCATGTGTTGGATTCTGCACATTTAAGTGAGCCAGGGAGCCAGCTGCACTGTTCAATTGCAGGAGAGCCAGCTTCATTGCAGCATAATATGGGATAGAATGGCATGGCTGTTAAATAACAGGACAATGTGAAGATAAAAGATTGAATTCAACACAACAAAATGATGCTGAGGAGAGCTACAAACATGTGTAGCAGAGAACAGGCACAAGACACAAGGTTTCAAAACATCAGTGCATTTTGATGGCTCATTTAATTGAGCTGAGACACAGTACATGTAGGATCTCCCCTCTTCCCCTGTTCTCATTCTTGAGGCTTTACTTTTGGAACAGGTATAAGGAAAACATTTTCCTTCTAATTTAGGGACTCATGAGCCAATTTGCATGAGAGGAAAGGTGAGTGTTCCTGTCCCTCTATGCCATCCACTACTGATTAAGTCCTAGACGTTTACCTTTTGTCACCACCTTTGCCTCAGTTCCTCACATTCCATTCCTGAGAAAGTTACTTCAGGCAAAAGGACCTGTCCTAAATCTTCTCCTGTGGTGACAACATATGGAAAAAATTCATTCAGTTTTTCTACAGTCTCTTTTTCCTCCCTTCACTTCATTGTTATTGAAAGGCCTAACTTTGGCAAAGGGTGTTTAAAGAGTTAACTGGAGTTAAAGCTGACTGGAAGTCCAGAGGTAGCATTACTATCAATTATATGGTGGGGTGGAAGGTACACAGACTATGAAGGACTTGCTCACATATTTATTGACAGCTGCACAAGGTAGGTAGGAAGTGGAAGGGGCAAGGTGAATATAAAATGGAAGAATTGTATGAAGAGGTGTGGGATATAGCTATTAAGGATAAATTAACATGTGCTATTAAGGTAAGACGGGGGATATGCAGGAGAAATGATTCTGAGGAGATATGGAAGGTGTTTGCAGAATTTGTACTGTTAAAACGGAAAGGGGTCAAACCATTGTAAGAGGTGTTGGAATTTTGGGATGTTGGATTGTTACAATAGTTTTGGGGGTGGGGTGCACATTTTCATTCTTATTTATTTATTATTACTACTTTGTCAAAATAAAAATAAGATTATTAATTAAAAAAGCTACTAAAAGGAAAAGAAAGAAAGGCCTAACTGCCATCCAAGTGATGATCTGTTTCTTATGCATTGAAATAATGTTTTATTGTTGGTCTTTGTATCTATCTATCTATCTATCTATCTATCTATCATCTATCTATCTATCTATCATCTATCTATCTATCTATCTATCTATCTATCTATCTATCTTGCAAAATCCTCTTTGAATTGTGCTTGCACTTCTTTTGCAGGATATGTTTCCTTTCATCTTTCTTATTTGGAAAAGGCTTTCTTTTTCTGAAGGAAGCTTTCTTGCAGCTTATAGCTTCCTTGACATTACTCATTAATGATACTTGAATCCTGTTGGCCCTGAACCGTGTTATGCAGTCCAATAAAATTGCATTAAAAATATATTGATACAAATCAAACCGATTATATATATATATAGAGAGAGAGAGGGTCACAGAATCATAGAGTTGGAAGGGACCCTGAGAACCATCTAGTCAAACCCCTGTGTCAGGAAACTGACATCAGAGCAACAGGAGAAGGAGAGGCTCTCCGATTCTGCAGGGGAAGGTACCAGCACTAGGGGGAGACGCAGCTTGATGGAGGGGGAAGGAAATCAGCGTAACACCGAAGATCCAGGAGAGCAAATGGGAGAAGAGGTGGAAGGGCTCTGGGATTCTTCCTTGGAAGTCAGTGAGGAGAGCCCTGGTCCTCCACTACCCACGCCCTCCTTGCGCAGGAGACTCCGCGCAATGAGAGGCGGAGATGATTGGGAGTCAAACAACTTTTATGCTGGCAAAGGTTTAAGAAACGCCCACAGACAGATTCTGCTAGCGACTGAGGCAGCCAGGCTGAGATGGGCTGCGCAGTCAGGACGGTTTAACCCAGGCAGCCACGCTCCAAAAAGGGGACAGTTTACGCACGAGTAACTCCAAACCACTACACCCTGAAATGAAGGAATATGCATCTGTCCCTTACAGGGATCAAATCTGTAACCTTGGAGTTATCAGCACCATACTCTGAGCAAGATGATGTACATGATTCTTCCTATCCACATGTTTACAACAACCTGATGAGGTAGGGTAGGTTGAGAGAGAGAAAGCAGCTAGCCCAAGGACACAGAGCAGGGCTTTCTAAACTTTGTGTCATGACAGGTTAGTAATTTGGCCGCAGTGTGCAGGTGTGTCACACAAACGGTCCCCACACTCCCACCCACCCACCCTGGGCTGGAAAGGGGTTAGCTTAACCTCTGGTTTGCAAGTAAAATTGAATTATTATGTCAAAAAATGATGCATGTTTAAAAAGTGTGTCACCAATATGAAAAGTTTGGAAAGCTCTAACACAGAGTGAGCTTCATGACTGCATGGGGATTGTAACTCTAGTCTGAACCACAACCATAATGGAGTGTGTGTGTGTGTGTGTGTGTGTGTAATGGCTTTGCACAGCTTTTAACCCCGTCAGCCCAATAGCTCAGATATGGGAGCATCAGGTTGGCCCACCATGGATCAAACTGGGGGACAAGTCACACACCATTCCAGCTGCACTCCTGAATAAATTTTGGGACATGGCTAATGCTTAATTTAAATAAATTATTCACATTCCACAATGTGTGTTTTCCCCAAAAAATATTTTATAAAATTTTAGTAACTAGACACAGGTTACATAGAAAAGAAAAAGAATTAGTTTTAAAGGAAAAGGGAGGATACTAAGCTGTCACAAATGGCAACAATGTACTAAGTCCAAAATAAAAACATACCAAAAGAAAATGATGTGGCATCTCTAATTATAAAAGGTTTCATGATCTATATCATCACAATTACAAATGTTTATTCCAAAAAAGAAGTTTAAAAGTAACCTTGAACTTGTCTAAAGCCTTATCATCATCACCATCACCATTATTTTATTTATACCCCACCCATCTTGCTGGGTTTCCCCAACCGCTCTGGACAGCTTACAGCGTATCTAAAATTATAATGAAAACATCAAGCATTAAAAACCTCCCAATACAGGGCCACAATCAGATGAATTCTAAAAGTTGTGTAATTCTTAACTCCTTTACAACTGAAGGGAGGGTGTTCCACAGGGAACTCAGGTATAGCTGTGATATCTGACACTCCTAAGCTGTTGTATTTGTCTACTTACAGATCTCACTATTTGAACAAAATACATTCTCAGAAAATTGTTTGTTAGGTGAGTGTTTCCCTAAGGAGCCAACAGTTTCCATTAATACCTATGAGAACATTCTAATGTGTTCTTGACCTCAAAACTTTGACCCTCAAAGTGTGAAAACCCCATGAAAACACTCTGAAGCCTTCCAAAAGGCATACATGGAAGGAAAGTCAGCTTGTTTCTTTACAGTACTAAACACACATTCAACTGTTGGGATATCTGAGTCTGTGGTGCATATAACAAGGTTTGGGTCCTAATTACTCATGTTAGAATATGAGATTTTTTCATATAAAAAGCATTTGGATAGTGGGACCTGTGTATAGAAAATATAAACAAATGGCAAAAAAGTGATCTCAGGTACATTTGCTACTGGAATATATACAGAGGGGGAGAGAGAATTTGGTCTTCAACTCTTTACTATCACATATTTAAAATTTACCAGAGTGAAGGGAGAAAAACCTGTTTAATTCTTTTTTCTTATAAGTTGCTCCCTGTTGTTCAGTTCTGGCCTCAGAATAATGATGTAGCATTTAGGGGCAAAGATGCAGCCCAATAACCCAGCACTGGAGGCCAAGATGGAGAAGATCTCCACAGCCACCATGCTCTTTCCACTTGTGCTCAGGTAGGCTGGAAAAAAAGACAGCCAAACACTGCAAAAGAGCAACATGCTGAAAGTAATGAACTTGGCTTCATTAAAACTGTCAGGTAACTTGCGGGCTGCAAATGCGGCAACAAAGCTGGCAATGGCCAAGAGGCCCATGTAGCCCAGGACACAATAAAACATGGTGACGGACCCTTCATTACATTGTACAATGATTTCTTCTGTTAAAGAGTGCATGTCCAAATCAGGGAATGGGGGAGATGTCATCAGCCACACAGTACAGATAGTTGATTGAATAAGAGAACAGGGAATCACAACTGAGTAGGCCAGTCTTTTCCCTACCCACTTCCTTATGCTGGACCCTGGCTTGGTGGCCATGAAAGCTAGAACTACAGTGATAGTTTTGGCCAAAACACAAGAAACGGCTACAGAGAAGATGATGCCAAAAGTTGGTTGCCGTAGGAGGCAGGAGACTGTGCTAGGTTCACCCAGGAATAACAATGAAGAGAGGAAGCAGAGTAGGAGAGAGACAAGGAGAGAGTAGGTGAGGTCCCGGTTGTTGGCTTTGACTATGGGAGTGTCTTTGTATTTAATGAATGTTCCTAGCACCAAAGCTGTGATGAAAAAGAAAGAAAGGGCAACCGATGCTAAACTGATCCCTAAAGGTTCTTCATAAGAAAGAAAGGTCATCGTTTTTTCAATGCAGGCAGTTTTGTTCTTAGTCGGATACTGAGTTTTGGGGCATCTGAAGCAGTCATTCATATCTGAAAAATAAACAAGGTCAAATTTCATTACTGATTGAACAGCACTTTGTCTGCTATGTGACTGCTTCACTGACATAAAATTATACCTATTGAAATGCATGTATTTTAGTGCTCCAATATAAATGCTTTGATCTCACTTATTCTGAAAGCTATCATACTTTTCAACAGTATTTTATCTTCCATATTGCTTCTTTGCTGGCATGAAATGAAACCTATTGGTTCCATATTTCTCACTGTTCATATATGAGTATTTTAAACTCAGTGTATTTTTTAGGCTTATTAAAATCATCTGTGTGCTAAGTTTATAATATCTGTGTTGAAATCCTTCTAACTGCCTTTCTGTTTCACATACGAACATAAGTGCCTGCTACATCAGGACATTGACCGATCTTATTTAGATTCCTGATTTCACAGTGGCCAACCAGATGCCTATGAGAAGCCTGAAAGCAGGACCTGAGTGAAACAGAAGTCCCCCCCAACACCCACACTTTCCAGCAACTGGTATTTTGCAGATTTCAGTCTCTGATGATGAAGGCACAGCAAAGCCACCAGAGGTCATAGCCATTGATAGCCTTGTCCTCCATGACTTTGCCTTATCCTCCTTTAAAGGCTTTCAAAGACTCTCCTCCCTGCAAGAGAGGGGAGTGGTTTTGCGCGGGAGCCCGAACTCTGCCCCGGCAGGGGCCTTAGCCCCTGCCCCTCCTTACCTGGCCGGCTGGCGCCCACGCCCACCGGAGGCAGCCAACCAGGTGCCTCCGGGGGGCGTGTTTAGTGGCTTAATGCTGCAGCGCCAGCTTCGCCTCCCCCTCAGTCCTCGTCATCCCGCAGGGAGTGGTTGCAGTTGTGAGGGTATTGGCGGCGAGCCCCTTTGCGGCTCGGGTGGCAGTTAGGCATTGGATTCATGTGTTGTGATGTGTCAAGGGCTAGGTGTGGCCATCGCCTATGCTATCTACCATGGGTTATTCCGTTGAAGGAATCTGGCGGTCGTGTATCCCGTCCGATGCCTGCTTGGCGGGAGGCCATGGCACGACCCTCGGTGACATCAGAGGTGAGCCTATAGTTGGATGAGCATCAACAGGCTCCACCTACTGTTGAATAAACCCACCACCTATAGTCATCCAATGCTTAAGCCAATACCTTTCACTGCTGTAATCAATAAAGTTGTGGCCTTTTCTTGCCCATTAACCTTATACCACGTGTCCAAGTGTATTTATTTCACATAGCGGGGTCGGGCCCTCGATCCACAAGTTATTGCTTCCCACTACATCTTATAGGAATGAATTCCATGGTTAAATCACGAACGTCATGAAGCAGTTAATTTTCTTTAACCTGTTGTGAATCATCTAGCACTCAATTTCCAAAGATGCCCCAGAGCTCTAGTGCTCTGTTTATCCTATTTTCCCATGCATTGAAGAATTTTATTCATTTTTATCATGTTGCTCCTTACTTGCTTTTTGCTCTAAAATAACTGTCTGAAATGCTACCTTCTAGCCTTGCTATTGTCCTTAGAGGAAGAAAAATTTGAGCGCTGCATAACTTACCATCCTGGTTTGAAATTTCCCCTTCTGAACAAGGAGCACAACCATAGCAGCAAAACTTTTCTCCTTCTTTTTTCTTCTTCTGATTGCCAGGGTGGCAGTGGTCATTACACAGAGAAAGGGGAATAACCTATTCACAGCAGAAAAGTCTTTTAGGAGATCAGAAAAACTGATTGTTTATTTGACTTCTATTAATGAAGTTCACTACTCAGCAAATAAAGGTTTAATATAAAAGAGCTGCATTATGCAGTTGTGTTAACTATGAATCACGTTATTTGGGATTCCCTCCAAACCTATGACAAATTTGCAATCATTTTGCAGCAAAATCCCCACATTTTGAAGTGTACCAAAATCTTGTCAAACTTCCCCAACAAGGTGCAATGCTGGTCACCCACAATCCAGTATTCTTCAATTCACACCACACCTGTGCCAAAGTTTTGCATTAATGGAGAGGGGTGACCAGTAGGGCACTAAGTTTGTCAGGTCAGCCATACAGTTCAAGGGCTCTCCAAAATGTTAAGTTTGTTCTGCAAAATGCTGCAAAACAATTGAAAAACAGCTCACCAGGACTTCATTTTAACCCTGCCTGGAGATGCAATGGACTGAACCTGGGAACTTGTACATGCCGTATGTGTTCTATTACTGTGTTATTGTCTCCATATATTATAAAAAGAGGTTACTGTATGGGTGCCTATGTAGTAATTTCATTTATATATGCCAAGGCTTTGCTTTATGTATTTGGAAGATATACAAAAATGTAATGCTTTCCCCCCTGTTATCAATTTTTAATGTGCTAGGCAGCCACATTTTTCCTTGGCCATATCAGATAGAAACAACAGTTTTAAACAAAATGGAACTTCCAACACCTAAAGAACACGTCGTAAGACCAGTGAGGACCAGAAGGATTCGTAAACTGCAGACCTGATTAAAACCTCTGTGCCATACAAGCATATCTTCATGAAAAATGAATGCTTCTCCTTCAAGAGTATCAGGATCAACTCGTCCAACTTTCATTTGAAGGAAGGACTTGTTTGGAAATGTGATCATGTTTGTGATGTCAAATCCACCCCTCATTTCCCTTTTATCATTAAAGGACATTGTTTCACCTGCTGAGTTGTTGAATGAAATGCCTTGCAGAAAATGGTGCAGCTGATTCAAACAGAAAAAGGGAAAAGAAGGAATATATATATCTAGAATGAAGGCCAAATATCAACAATGGGCTAAATTCATATAGCAGATGGAAAAGTTATGACAAAGCAACAGAAGGCAAAAATTCTGTACATACAAAATATATAGGAAATAATCACAATCACAAAATGTTATCACGTGATATCTTGCCTCAGAGAAATTCACTCACTGAAATAATATTTTGTTTGCAGCAGGTTACCTGCCATGGCTGCAGATCTTGAAGTTCAAACCTTTTGCCTCCAACCACTGCTCTGTGCTTTGATCTGTATGAATAAATAGCATGCAAAGCATGGGCGACAACATAGACAGCGTTGTGGATACTGTAGCTGTGGCCAGTCATGTCCATTTCAAACACATGCCCAGGAAGACTCTGTAACTTCTCCTCCCCTGTACATGTATCAATATCTTGCATCAGCAGATCTGGAAATGGACAGTCAAATGCTTGCTCCCAGAAGTCCTTGAGAAAACCATCGCCTGGATTCCAATAAGGTTTTATGATCTGAAGAAATTCATTGAACTTGAGAAGCTTTTTGGAGTGTATGGTGAAGGAAATGGCACCTTGAAAGAGCTCAAGATCCCAAGACTTTTGAAAACTCAATAATACAAAATCAATTGGTGTTGTCATGATCCAAACCTTTCTAAATGATGCACTTTCCTTATTTTCAGGATCTCGTAGATACATAACGGATCTTAACCAGGTCAATGTCAGAGAATCTCCATAGACAATGAATGCATTGGCTTTATCATTTGTGACACCCACGTAATACCTATCAAGCATATCAAAAATTTCACCCACCATATCAAAACGAGCTATTTTTTCCATTCTTTGTGTGAAGGCCGAACAGATCCCATGCTGGTAAAGCATGGGCTCCAGGGCCTGCAGGAAATTTTCTCCTCCATCATCATCTGTAACAAAGAGTCCAATCCATGTCCATCCAAAATGCTGGAGCAAGCTGATAATTGCCATATACTGATGCACTTCATTGGGCACCATGCGGTAAAAGGAAAGGAAGTGATCTATATCACTCTCCTCTTGGGGGAATGAGCCATATGCAAGCTAACAGCAAAAGAACAGACATTATCAGTATTATACAGAGCCTCTCTAGCCCTGCAAATGACCAATATTGCAAAATAAATTAGGGCCCTTTAATCCGTTACCCAGACTCTCCAAGGAGGCAGGGACTATGGTCAGCTTTGTAAGTCTTCAGGTCAACCTGGCCTTCTTGCAGAGACAACTTCTCTTGCAGTTGTTGTGTGGAACAGGTTGGTGGTATTGGAAGTGTCCAAGGTGCTAGCTGCTGCCTGTTTGACTCAGACTTTCACTGCTGTAGCAATATCTACTGGTAAGGAGTAATCTACATTTTTGACAGACATTCCAGCTTGCAATGCTTCAGCATCAGTCATGTTTACTTTCTGAATCTCAAAATCACTTTCAGAATAATAAGAGTGTGAACAAAAATTCATGACCCTACTCATAAAACCTAAGAACTAATCAGAACCTGGATGCAGGCGGCACTGTGGTCCAAACCACAGAGCCTAGGGCTTGCTAATCAGAAGGTCAGCAGTTCAAATCTCCACAACAGGGTGAGCTCCCATTGTTCAGTCCCTGCTCCTGCCCACCTAGCAGTTCGAAAGCATGTCAAACTGCAAGTAGATAATTAGGTACCGCTCCGGCAGGAAGGTAAACGGCATTTCCGTGTGGTGCTCTGGTTCACCAGAATCAGCTTAGTCATGCTGGCCACATGACCTGGAAGCTGTCTGTGGACAAACGCCGGCTCGCTCGGCCTATAGAGCGAGATGAGCATGCAACCCCAGACTCATCCGAGACTGATCCTAAGTCAGGGGTACCTTTTACTGATAAAACCTACCTGTGGAATCTTGTAGAGGCTTAAGGTACCAGCCATATGGAAGGAGGTATCAGAGCTAAGTCCCCCGATTATGGCGATGAGGTTTTTCTGCGAGTCACATTTATAGTTGGGAGAAAATCTATGCATTTTAAAGAGCAGGTCCATGGTGTTACGATAGGTCATCCTTGCATCATAATAGCTGTCGTAGATGTGGAACCCCAGTGTGACATTGGGCAAGATGTTGGGATTCTCATTTATCACTTTTACAGCAAATGCCAAGGCAAGAATGTGTTGGTAGAATTTTGTTATCATGCTGCAAATGAGGTTAGTTTCAAATTTCAGAGGAAAATTCTACAATGCAGACAAAACAAATTGCCCTTTCCTTCTGAAACTTATACATACTCAACTATAACCTTAGTTTTTATGGTGGTTCTAAAATAATAAATATCAAACTCTTCAGCCCAAATAAAATGTATTACTTATCATGCCATTTGTATATTTCTTTTACCACCGTTTAGTTAGCTCTTGTGTCGTCTTTAATATCCACCACCCTTCCAAAAAATGACTACAACAATATCCAACTCTTTCTCTTTGTACTCCAAATGGCCATGAAGGTAATTATTCTATGCATCTAGCCCAGGAATTCAACAATATTTCATTGAATTAGTTACAGTTACTACCATCCTTATACAAGGCAGTTTCTGGTATTCATTTATAGGATTGCATTATGCATTTGTTTTAAAAATAGTTATCACTTTAATAAGACAAGTTAATGATTACTTTAAAAGCTACATTGTTTTTAAAAAGAACTAATCAGAACCAACCTGCCACAGTCTGATCCAATACATTTCTACTCAAATGCAAGTGCAAATGAGTTCAATGAGGATAACTTCCAAGTTATTTTTGTATAAGATTGCAGACTTGGTTTAGGTGCAATCATTCACTTCTAATATACCAGAAGTCACCTCTTCTATGTAAGACAGGTATAGAAAAATGGGGTGAAATGTTTTCTCTTCATCACAATTTTAAGGTTCTTTCCATCACCACTATCAAATATATTCAATTCTAAACCTAATAGAAGAATAAACTAACTCCTTTAGACTTATCTTCACTTCTCTATCACTATACCATGGTCAGAAATGCATACAGAGCATATTACTCTATATTTCACTAATTTAATGACTGTGTTCTTAAGCCATAAAATCTCCACAGGGTTCAATCATTTTTGAAGCTTGCATTTGGAGTTCAAGGAATTGGAAAGACAAAAGTTTTGGAATACAAGTTCATGTCATTGAAGTATTTTAATTCAAACAAAAAATAGGAATTTTGCGTATTAGAATGAAGGAAACATCCATATTAGTGCATGTAAATAATTGCAAGTAGCACGCTCTAATAGCATTTTTTGATGATTTATTATTTATACTTCATGCTAACAAGAGCAAAGCTCATACCTTTTTTTTAATCACCCATGCCTTGGTAAAGGAATTAATCTCCCATCAACTTACTGCTGCTACAATCAGTTTAACAGACTCCCAACACACACTACATTTTGTTAAAATATCTAGATTTCACTTATCAGCCAGTGCCAGGTGTCACTTCATAGATGAATGAAATATATTGAAACAGGTTTATATCTCACAAAGCAATTCTCAAACCATGAGGTCAATATCTCACAAAGGAGACTCAAACAGTGTCTGATTCATGGCATTTTTTCTAGGAAGATTGGACACTTTCAGATTAGGTGCCCCAAGAACATGCACAGCAGTAACCCTATTATCACAGAGAGCAAAGCAATTATTTACTGCCGGTCATTTTAGGAGAATACACAATACTAAACAAACAAACAAACAAACAAACAAACACTAGAAGGATTAATCCCAAAAATGAAAGAGGAGGGAGAGTCTCTTACTGTGGATTGTTATCAAACAGATTCTGTGAAGGATTTTCAATGAAGAGTTCTTCAATGATGGAATAATAGAACTGAGAGGCAATCCCACCAATGATGAGACCACCTGACTGGTACCACTCATGTGGAACAGGAAATGTATCAATCTCAGGGCACCTCATAGCTTCTTTGCATACAACAGGAGGCAGCAGAAAAAGCAAAGTGAATGACCACAGCATCCTTGCAGGCAAGCCTCCCTGCAATCTTGGATGCTCTTTGCCTATCAGTCCCTGCAGAATGACTTAAGCAAACTAGATGGCATGATACCTGGCTCTGTCAATAGAGCACAACAAGAGAGATTGGCACACCTTATTTAAAAATCAAAGCAGTATAAACACATGCTTTGGATGCTAGGTGAGATTTCCAATGCTCAACACTCAGATTTCAAGGCACACCAATAATATGATGAAAATACTAAATGGGAGGAAGAAAATTGGGAGCCATGGCTACCTCTTGATACTATTCCTATCTCCTCATGATACAGAGATTCATCATTATAATCCTTTTCATGGCTGTTTATTGACAGTTTTCTTATGCCTCTGGTGTTCTGACCAGGTGGCCAAATTATAGTGATTTGGATAATTGTATGGTGACTTAATAACTTTTGAAAAGTTTTAGTTTCAATGAGGGTTGGTGTTTTTTTCCTTTTATTGCATCATGTTGAGTTCTCTGTTTATTCTCAAATCTGCCTACAATGCCCTATGCACTGCCTCTGCCCTTTTGTGGCACAAAAAGTGGCAATTATCTTGAAGTGTTCCATGGTAAGTGAAAACATCAGCAGGAAAGTCAAAGTGAGTCTATTTTGTTTTGTAACTCAAGGCAGCAAATCTTGAATGAAAGGTGACTGTCCAACTCCAGTTTTGCCACATGACTTGGCAGCTCTTATTTTCTATGTGATAAATTTGTGGCAAAATCCAGATGTGCCATCAAGATGAAGGAAACTATACTATGATGACAATAACCATGAAATAAAGAGGTGCGACACAAGTGAAGTGTGTTTATTTAAATTGTACTGTAGCCTTATTGGAGTTCACTGATTGGGTCTGCGTTGCTCCGGGACAGGAAGGAGGAAGTCAAATGACACCGAGGTTGATTCCAAGAAAGAGTTTATTCTGCTCTCCGGATAGCAGGAGGCACTTGCGTGGTGAGTCCACAGCAAGTCCAAAGAAATGAGAAGTTTCATGCAGTATATATATTCTCCAGGCACCCTCTCCCCAGCCACGTCAGCTTGTACACGCAGGTTGACATCACAGATGTTCCTGCTCCGGCACTCTTAACCATAAAAGGGATTTCCTTCCTGCACTCCTGACCATAAAAGGATATTCCTGTTCCTACTCTTATCTTGGAGCCAGAGGTCACCATTTCCGAGAACACACTCTGGCATTATTCCCAGACTTGGGTCTTTGCGTCTTTGTGGTCAGAACATAAGATAAGGCACAAACGTGTTTTCTCTGTTCTGCTGGTACAGTCAGGGTCATCCTTGACGTCACAAACTGATAAAGGAGAGAGCTGTGTTCTTGTAATGCATTTGCTCAATGGCTCAAGTTTATGCATTTTAGCTAAGGAAAAATAGGGATTTGGGTGCAGTTTAAAACTGCCTGCACAGTCAGTTATCCCAGTTTAAAAATGGGATTTGGGAAACCCATTCCTTCAGTACTAATTCTCTTCAGTGTGATTTTGCTCAAACTCAGCTGTTAACAATTCTGGCAAAGCACACACTGCCACCTAGAAGGGGTTGGATTTAACTTCACCTACTTCCATCAGACCCACACCTAAGGTGGGAGGAAGGCCTTCTTCACCCACCCCTTCTTGGGGGCCCACAGCTCTAAGAAGGTGCTACATGGCAGTTCCAAAGGTGATCTGTACTCAACGTATAGGCCCCAGAACCCAGAAGAAAATAATTGGGTCTCACATTTCTCTGCATCTGTAACTCCAAAAGGTTTCATGATCTATATCAACCCAATTACAAATGTTTATTCCAAAAAAGAAGTTTAAAAGTAACCTTGAACTGGTCTAAAGCCATATCATCATCATCATCATCATCATCATCACCACCACCATTATTTTATTTATACCCCACCCATCTTGCTGGGTTTCCCCAGCCACACTGGACAGCTTACAGCATATCTCAAGTTACAGTGGTACCCCGCAAGACGAACGCCTCGCAAGACGGAAAACCCACTAGACGAAAGGGTTTTCCGTTTT